GTGCAGGCTGAAGTAGATCCCTGAGTTCATAACAAGACTTTGGAAAGTCCTTTGTGGCTGCTTCAGCATAAAAGCACAACTCTGTGGATGTGGTGGCAGGAATGTGGGCTTATACTGGTTTGGGCAATGATGCTGTTATTCTTTCACTTGGTGAGTGGTGATTGAAATCATAAACTAATGCTTTCCACATAGACGATAGGGAGAACAGCTGCTGCCTTGAGGGAAAATCAAAACATTTCACTTCTAAAATATCTTTATAAAGCCATATAAATGTATTTTTCATTTTGTGTTCCTGGGAATAGCTAAGCCCAAGCATAGTTAAGGGTAGACTTGCTGAAATATTGCAGTGAGAGTTGTCATCAAGCCCTTCCTAGTGTTTGGGTCACTTTGGCACCTGCAGTTTTAAGACTTTGAAGCTTGCAAATGCAACTCAAACTCAGACAAAATGCATTGTGAGCATACTCCTTTAGAGATTTGTACCTCTGACATGCAGCTCTGTTGAGACTGGCAGCAAGCCTGCTAATTTTTACCAGTTGTGGCAGACTGTTTCAATGTCTTTTACCCTTTAAGACAGTCTGCTCAAATGCCTGTATTTTTGTGTTTAAAGCCATTGAACCTTTCCTAACGGGTAAAATAATGTATTCTCTCTACTTTTCTTAAACGTTTCCAGAACACACAATTGGGTTGCAGCTCTGTACACATTCCTAATTTCCCTCTGTCTGAAAGCCATAGAAATGTCCTGCAGTGCTTTTCCCTGCCCCTGAAATATCTAGAGCGCTTCTTGATGCCATCAGTGGGCTCAATTTCTTATTTCTCTGTTTGAAGAAGGAGTGGAGAAACTCCTGGGTGTGGACAAGTGTGAAAGCAGAATGGCAATCCCTGGCTGGCCACTGGCCCCTTGGGATACTGTTACCACCCCGTGCCATGCAGAGCAGCCTGTAGTAACTCCTGCCTGTTTTGGGTATGAAGGGAGAAGAAAGGAAATATAGGAAGTTCTTCTGCAATTTACTGCCCTGTAAAAGGATTTTAAAGAATCTTTGGGGAAAAAATTTAGGCCTCAGATGCACACATGTGGATCTCACTGTGAAGGCCATGCGAGTGTGTACATTAACAGACACAATATGGCTTTTGATCATTAAGAGAAATACATATAAAATATGTAATTACACTACCATGTAATAGGATATTTTTAATAATTTGTTAAAAATACTCCCCAAACTGAAGTACAAAAAACATAACATCCCAGGCCTTGATCTTTTAATGGTCTATCTTCTTCACCAATGGTTATCTCACCTTTAATGCTGTTTGTAAATGTGGTTTTGTACTTTGAAATTCAGTAAAGTATTTGTACTTAATGAAATGAAAAGCCCAAGCACCTTCCTGTCCATGTTTGAGAATGGCATCATATTTGGAAGAGAAATACACATACTTGTCCTGGCTACTGGCAGGGACTCCCCTGTGACCAGGCCTTTTCTGCTACCACACAAAACCCAGCTGTGATGGCTCAGCACTCACTCCACAAGCCTGCAAGCACAGAGACCTTCAGCACGTGCTTACATCTATGAGCCTGAAGGTTTCCCAGCACCTCTTGTAGCTATTACCAGAAAGAGTGTGATGGATTAAAAACCTCTGCTGACATAGACATCTCAGGGGTGTGCAAGACTGACAGCTTGGAGGTGGCTCCCCAGGGTCTATTGACACCTTGAAACTGCTGCAGTTGCATCAACCTGTGAGTGGGTGGTAATGAAAGGCAATGAACCTCAACCGGAGGCATCTTGGCTTTCATTTTACTTGCCTGAAATTCTCCATGCGTTGGTCTGCCTTAAATGTTCACCAAAATCTGAAGCAGCTCCTGCCTAGAAAGGTTCCCACAAACAGAAAAACAAGTACAAGGGTGAGCAAGTGGCGTTAAGCAGAGTCTGCCTGAGACGAGTTCTTAAGAGGAACAGCAAACTCTCCTGTTTCTTTATCAGTGAAATAGCACAATGTGATTTTTGAAGAAGAAACTAACATAAGGCCTTTTCAGGTCTCTATTGCTCTGTCAAATTGCAAATAAAAGGGAAATAAACTGTAGGAGCCACTTCATCAAGGTAACAGTCTTAGGTGAATAGGATCATTGTGTCATCTCAGAACAAGCATTTACATGTTTCCATTGAAATGAGGTGTGGTCTCGTTCCCTGTTCTCCAGTCTCGTTACACAAGAGACCTTTCTCCTGAAAGGTTTCCTTAAGTCTTCCCAGTTCTAAGACTGGATTTGTTCCCCATTTTGTACTGGAGCATCTCTATTTTTCGTGTGTGTACACTAAAGTGCTTAATTCCCCTTTAGGCAGAAACTGAGGCTACAGCCTTCCTATCTGGTCCTTTAGATGAGATTTTGTGAAACTGTGAACAATGGAGGGAAGGGTAACAATAGAAACACATACGCAACCCTTACCATAACAAGAACTTGTATTTTAGCAGTACCAAATATGTATTTTTACAGTATTTCTATTTGACTGATTCTCGAAATCTAATAGACTGAATATTTTTTTTGCTATTAAGCTTCATTGACTACAGCTGAAGTCATAATATTCTATTAAAAACTATCTCAATGAGTTTTGATTGGAATTTTATTGTTTAGCTGATTGTATCAGATGCTGTTTATTCCATTCAAATCTACAAGTAAAAAACACTTTTTATTATTTTTGGTGACACTAATTTGGTGTGCAAAATCACTTTTTTGGTCCCCTGCCCATCTCTTTAAAGAGTACTGACTAAAATTTTTCTGAAAAAATAAAGCAGCAGAGAAATAACAAACAAACAAAAAAACCCAGGACCCACAATCAAGCAACTAAAACGACAAAAAAGACCCTGGAAACCAAAACTCTGGTTTTTCATGTCTTGTTAGACTATTAGGAAATACTTTTTTGCAGGAAATTGCTGCAGAGGTAGAAGTGAGGAACAGAATGCTATAGCTTATAGAAAAGTATTGACATAGCTGGAGATCAGGCACACTCCTTAGCACCCATCCCCTGTCCTTTTTGTAGTGGGAGATATTCCTGCAGTGCTTTGGAGATGAGAGAAGCTGAAACCAAGGGACTCTCTACATAATGCTGTACAATGAAACTTTTCAATGTGTTAATACAGTAAAATCCCCATTATCTGAATTCCATATTCTTCAATTACCGTAGCTTGTGATTCAGATAAATGGGAATCACTAAGATATAAACTTGCATTGTATATTTAACTCACTGGATATTAATCTCTTTCTTACATTATTTATATAATCGGCAGCGTGATTTGGCACATAAACACAGCAGGTTTAGTTTATTTTAGAAATCCAGTGCAAATTATATCTTGCAACAAAAAATTCATTCAAGTTATATCTCAATGTACAAATCTGAATTAATATTAACCAGGCTTTGTGTGTTCAAGTTTGTAAGCATATCCTAGCAGATTCATCAGAAAGAAGGCTAGTCAGTACAGATGAAAAATAAGAAATTATCTGTGTTGCAGGACACGTAAAAGTGAAGATAGGATCTACTTTCATTCTTTTCCAGCTGCTGGAAGATTTTAGATAGTATTTTGGATCGCTTTTTTTTTCTATTTATATTAGAGAATGGAGTAGAGAAAGTCTTAGGGCAACTGAAGCCCTATGGTAAATCAATTGAAGTAGATGCAGGTAGATAATTTGTGAATTTTGTTCCTGGCACTACAACAAGAGATGATGCTGAAGGTAGCTTTTCTGAACATCAGAAGTGCAGATAAAGTTTATTGTTTTGTGGGATGGTTTAGTTGGAAGTAGTGCTGCTCTTTAAAGATTAGGCCAGCCTCATTAAACGTGGGTGTACATTAACCACTTTGATCTACATCTTCTGCCTGTCTTTGTGTTTAGCATTTGGTTGTTGCTGAATGCTTACTGTATTTTTAGGTTTAGCTTGTTCATGCAGCTGAAGTTTATCTAAGCTTGGTTTTTGTTTTTTTTTTTTTTTTTTCAGAAAGAAAACACACACACTAGGAGTGCAGAATACCTCATCTTCTTTTGATGCTGCGCTACCTTCTTGCTGACAGTCAGGGATGAAAAGGGCCATAGGTATTGTCCACTGTAGAATGGGTGAATCAGGTTTTGAGGTGGGAAAAAAGTGCCATCCAATCCTGGTACTCATTTTGATGCTCAAAGATGACATGAAAGCTGCATGCCAGGGAGGCATGCCCACTGAGGAGGAAGAAAGCAGCCCTGCACTCCTCTGTGATTGGGACTGACTGTGTTGTTGCTGGGTGGAACAGCGTAATGCTGCTGCTGCTCCTGCTCCAGCACTGTGATGTTTCTGTTCCAGATTGTGCTGACTCACATTCAAGAAAATATGATACACAGACACAATGCACTGTAACTCTTTTCCTTCCCCCCAGTAACCTCGGTAAGTGTTTGGTTTCTTTTTCCTCTCTTTGGCTAGCATGATGCTAATATAGCTTTACTGTTAGAATTAATAGGAGGGGGAAAGGCAACCTTGTAAACAAACTGGTAGCAGACAGATTAATCTTGGAGAGGGCATTTAAATGCAACCTGCTGTTTGTGGTATGTCCACCTCCCTTTAAAGCTGATCAATCCCCATAACTCGCCCTTCTCTACACTTGTTAGAGCTGTGTTCTTAGATGGGAGAAGTGCTTACAATGTCCATTTACAGCTGTATTCTGTTTAATTAGTCAGCACAGCCAGTGCTGCAGGGATAGATCACTTGCCTTTAAAGATTTGAGAATGTTAATAGTACAGTACATCATTTTAATTATTATTGGATTAATGTTGTGTCTCGAAGAAAATCTAATGCAAATCACAAGAAATGGCCTGAAGTGACCCAAGGGTTGTGCTTTATTAGAAAAGTAATAGGTCCATTGCTTAAATATAAAAAGAGGTTCTTTCTTCAAATGTCACTCTGCACTGGGCTTCTCCGTGTGTGTATGTGAAAATGAAATCCTTTTACTTCCACTTTGTCCACAGAAAGTTTCTGTAGCTAATGCATTAAATGGCTGAGAGAGCAGCTGTAATATCAAGTGATGAAGAGGAGATCCAAAACAGCAGTGATGATGAGGACAGGTTTCCGACTCAAGTTGCTGTAACTACATCCCCTGGTTGCTCTGCCAGCCCTTCGTTAGACAGCCTTGATGAAGACAAGGGAAGCTCAGCAGTGCCAGAAAGACTGTCTGTCCTCTCCAGCAGGGCAGTGGCCCAGCTAAAAGCCCCAGCTGGCCCAGAGATGGTTCATGGTGGCCGGGCACAAAGGACAGCCGCTGGGCTGGCTGAGCATCCTCTGGCAGCTGTAGCTGCATCCTTAGGTGCCTCCTCATGGCCTGCAGCAGTTGATAACCTGCTGCCTGCGGACCTTGCCTCCCTGTGTGCCAAAAGCCCCTGCTGTGATGGCAAACTGAGCTCAGAGGTGCTGCAGACCCTGAGGGTGCCCGGTGAGGCCAGCGAGGCCCTGCAGGCAGGGACTGACACGCAGCAGGCAGGGAGCGGCACTGAGACCAACATGGCCTCTTGCAGTTTGGGCCGTGTGATTTGGGTGAAGACCACAACAGTAACAGAGACCTTGGAAAATAAGAAAAAGGAGGAAAAGGAGAAGTACCGGCTCCAGCTAGCAATGTACCGACGGCTCCTGCTGTTACGCTCCATCAGGAGCTTGCATAGGCAGCTGGAGCAGCAGCAGGCCAGGCTGCAGGAATGCTACGGCACGGTGATAAATACAAAGAAAGAAGTGTTGAAACACATTTGCCCAACCTCGCCCTCACCTTCGCCGTAATCATGTTGCTGCCTGCAGAAATGAGCTTTGCAATGCCACCCGAGCCGCCAGTAAGCTTGCATGCCATAGGGGTGGTGTCCTCGTGTGCGCCGAGTGGAGAGGAAGCAGCAGCAGGTCAAGAAGAGAGGAGAGAAGGTACAGCTTTGGCCCCTGAATTTTTCTGGAGGAGAAAAGAGCAAGGGTGAACCTGTGCAAGAAGCTGGCTCCTGATGTCCATTCAAAGCCGCAAGGTGAAAAGGAATTGTTTTGGCAGATAGGTTTGTAAAGAGGAAAAAAAAAAATCACCACAAACTGGGAACCTAGTCTGTCACCTGACCCATAAAGGTGGCTGGATGCAAGGTTGCTGCCTGCTGAATTTGTGATATGGCGCATCTTCCTTCTACTTTCAGAGCCAACAAAATTTGAACAGAATTAATGTTTATTTGTTTGCAAGAATACCTGACAGGATATTTGAAACACTTAGGCTCAGGATTGACTATATCTACCTAGCTGCCTGTTTTTCACAAAACTGCTAAGGATGCTGTATGTTTGCAACCTCTACTTTCCTTTAAAATTTATTCCAATTGATCAGAAATTATTGTGGGAAGGTAAGACAGCCAAACACACACAGGGAAAGAGTGAAAAAGCCTAAGCCTGATTTCCTCAGGAAAGTAATGTAAAAAAAAGGGCCTTGTAGTCTGACGTTGCACTGGAAACCCAGGCTGGCAGTGCCAGGGGAATGTTCAAGGTCTGCACAATTATTAATCTGCTGCTAATTCCCAGTGGCACTAGCATCTGCAAATCAAGCATATTTTGTGCCTTACTGCTGTCATTTAATGGAAGTTGGTGACAATTAGCACTTTTTATCCAGGTGTATTAGACATGTGGAAAACCCTGGAGCACTGTTTCTCCAATTGCAAGGTTAGGATGCCTGCAGGGAATTTGATGTCAGTATGCAACAAACACACAGGGAAAATGGAAACAAAAAGATGCAACTTTCTTGTATGCATTTAAAAGGCAATGTGAGTCACTATGATTGAATAGCAAATTGAATAGTCAAATGTGCTGTTTTAGGATTGGAAGCAAAATATGATTCAAGAAGAAAACCTACAGAAAAATTTCCTATTCTAGGATTTCAAGGGATACAGAAAAATCACATTTTTTTTTCAGCTCATACTAGCTTTCCTTTCCCCCTGTAGTTTTTAATTTGTTTTTTCATATAATTGATTATTTTATATAATTGATTATCTAGATGAACAATCAAACAGGTTTTGTTGTGGGGTTTTTTTCTGCATAAAAAGGTAGGTCTGCTTTTAATTATCCTTTATGAAAATAATGTGCTATATAGAGGAAAAATTTTATTCTCACTTTTTTTTTTTTTGGTACATATACAGGGAGGGGTATGTGTGTGTTGGTGTATGAATGTACACACACCTCCCTGTATTCAAGAAGTTATGAAAGGCTGATGCTTCTTTTCCTGTAGCAGAAGCAGGAATAATCTCTCAAAATAATCTCTGCTGTCTACGAGGAGTTTGGTTGATTAGATTCACATGCACACATCTGTGAGCAAGGTATTGAAGTAATTCAACAAATGAAGTGCAGCACAACATTGTCATTATTCCGTCTTTGTATTTCTGTGCACCCAAAAATTATGGAAGCCCCCCGGGTATGCACAACCTTGGATAGGTTCATTCATTTCCTTGGGCCCTTGTGTAGCCTCTCATGCAACACGAACCAGTAACTTTGAATGCAGAATTACCATAGAAACATCCTTGGCATCAAGGAGATATTTGAAAGAGCATCCTCTGCTGCCTCATTTGGGGAATTCAGGTTGCCAGAGGCCTTTAGTGGGCTACAGAAGATAGCTGGTGGCCGCATGTGACTGGGAAACATTACTCCTGAGCTCTGATCCCATCTCGCTCTCTGCTCAGCCTAGGGAAAGCTGTTCTCTCTCAGCAATGCAGGTTTTCTAAAGAATGCTTAAATACTAAACTTGCCTCAGAGGTAACCTCTTCTTTCTTCACGTGCATCTCAAGAAGGATTCAAGGGGTTGATCATGGCCAAGAGTGCTACGTAAAGATTTTTTAATTTCTTTCCCCTCATACTTTTTGAACTAGAAAAGTTTTTGTCATTGTTAAGAGTAAGAGTTATGTGAACCAAGCACAAGCAAATCACTATGATGTCACTTCCTTTGGTGTATTGGAGAGGAGTCACATCTCAAAAATATTGCTGCATTTTGAAACCAAATGTCAAAATGTTCCCTTTAGGAAGACAGTCAAAATGAATATTGTTGTTAATGTTAGCCAACTTTTCTTTTGAACTGAAAAAGAATTATCTTTTACAGTGTATCCAGGTTGACTAATACTGCCATGTAACTTTCTGAGATATAATAGATCAATGAAAATATCACCCCACCCCACCAAAATGCAAAAAAAAAAAAAACCCTGTTAAAGCAAAGTAACTGTTTTACCTCAGTAGCTGCTGAAGAAGAGCACTGTTCTGCATTTGCTGCAAGAGTGCCCTACATTACTGCATAGAGCTACCTACAGTGTCATATTTGCACTAAGGAGTGACTAGAATAAGATTAAGAAATACATTTCACAAAACAACTAGTGCAGAAATAGTCTGTCAATCTGTCCAACTATAAATTCTTTGTGGCAGAACAGTGATAATCTTTGTTTTGTACAACATCTCATAAAATTTCTTGATCCTATTTGGGATCAGTAGATGCTTCTGCATTATGAATATTAAATACTGAAAGATTTGTGCATGAGCAATGCTGTCTGATAGCTGGCAGGAAAATGAAGTCAAGAATTATTCTCTGTGTGCACACTCTTTCCATGTAGTACTTCTATGGATACAAGCAAAATAAATATTAACTGAGGAAATAAATTCAGCCTTTGCAAGCATTTGCTTTTCAGACAGTGCTTCTAGTGGTTACTAATAAGTGGAGTTGGACAAAACACTTAGATGCAATATGTTTTTTAAAATGAGTATATTTTAGAAGAAGCTTGGAAAATGTGCCTTAGCAGCTATGAGTTTTTTTCCTTGTATGTTTTAGTGTATTTTGGGAGTTGAAGGTCAGTGAGAAAGTTCCAGAATGCCATGGATAACTCTCAGAGGTGTTTTCAGGCATATCAAACTGAGCAACAGTCTCAGGTTGAGTAAAAGTGTTTCCTCTCATATAGTTTGACCTCTTCATGTTCTTAAGAGCTTTGGTGATTTGGGTGAGGTCCAATTAAATTTCTTAAAATTTGTATTTTTATCTGAACTCAACTCTCAGCCCTCACAGGAACTGGGGTAATGATGACAAAATGAGCAGTTTCAGTAGGGCCTTTCTCCCCATTATCTTTATTGACTTCTAGAGCCTGCCAAACTAATGATCTGTGGGAGAAATATTCCATGCACCCCAACAACTTGTGTACTTTTACAGCAAAGGTTGAAGGTAAATTATGCTGCCTGAGCTGTAAGTTCCTGCTGCTCACCTGTTTCTGAAATGGCAGAAAATAATCATGGGTTTACTGTGAAAGAGTGGAATATTTAAAAGATGTCAGCCCTCTTGTAATAGTTGCTAAACCTAAAATAGTTGTAGCTTCTGCCAACATAAAGGCAGAAATATTCAAGGACAGAATGGAGTTATAATACACTTGAGTATTATAACTGACAAATAAATATTTATTATTATAACTGACAAATAATTGACAAAATGAATTACTGAGATGTTGTTTTGCACAAGCGATTTCCTTCTGCATCTCCAGCATCTCAGTCTGCTAAACTGCTGCCCTGGAGACTGGTCAGAACTTTGTTTTCGTGTTTCTGTTGTTGATGGCCATGAGTCAGCCAAGATAAACAGCCCACCTTAAGACATTCACTTATTGCCTTTTGTGATGTAGCTATTCAAGGGATTTGTTCAGTTCCTCCTTCCTGAGATTTTCCTATGTGTCAATCACATTTTTTAATTAAGACAGTGACAATTTTATGGATTTATAGTAAATTAGTGATGTTGTGGTAAACTTACAAGCCATGTACTGCTAAATGCAGATCACCCTGCATTGTTCTTGGAACTGTGAAAATTATGGACTCTGGTCATGACATAAGCATACAAAACATAGATTTAAAGATGAGGTTGTTTAAATCTTTCCTGGATGATAAGTAGACTAGGAGAGACCCTTTAGAAGACTTTTTACAGTTTATTTCTTCAAATATTATGAATCTAGAACACAACTGCATTGGAGAGGCCCTTTTGCTTGTGACTGTTGAAAGCAGGGCAGTAATACAAAAATGGGTTTGGGATATGCTTGACTGGGACTCGGCAAGGAGTAAGAGTTCCTCAGTTTTAAAACTCAGATTCAGAGCGTGATAGCCAAAACCTTGGATGGTGGATGGAGGCGTGGAACCACAAGAGAGGTTTCAGGGTTTGATTTTTAATTCAGCATGTAGAATCTCACACTGGACAGTTTCTTTTCTCAGTTAAGGAGAACCTTTTATTTCTTCTCACTCCTGCGAAAGCTCTTTTGGATGATTAGGCTAGATGCATGCTAATGGTCATTTGTGCAATGTGCAAATTGATACCCAGCTCTGAATTCGAGTGACAATAGATGTTCCATATAACTAAGTCCCCTAAACCTGGCTGCCACGTAAATTGTAATATATTGAAGTTGAGCATCCTGATGATTTTTAATGCCATTTTAATCCATCCCAGGACTTTGAGGTACGCCTTGTTCATGTTCCTTTTTAATTTTGGTGCATTTTTACCTCTTGGTATCTTCAAACGGCTACAAATGTCTTGTATAGCACTAATCTTTGTCTCTCTGGCTTTTCTATATTTGGAGGCCTTCCCATAAGTCCTTTGTGCTATTAAAGAAAAGAGAGTTAGTTGATTTTGTTTTTGCTTTTTTTTTTTTTTAATTTTGTGAAAAGTCAAAGCAGAGGAGAGGGTTCTGTGAAAATATTTTTAGAGATTTTACTTAAATGTCTTGAAAATAACAAGACATTTAAGAGTTCTTACAGCTGAAAATAAG